CATTATTTGTTTTTTGGAGCCAGGCTAAGACCTTTTTATTTAAAACTTATTTTAATTGTTAAATTATTTATATTTATAGGATTTTAAATTTTTAGCCGAGATGCATCGGAGGTTTTTAAATAATTTTTTTATTGTTATATTGTTATTTATTTATGTATTTTGTTTCTGTTGTGAGCCGACCCAAGGCTTCATTGTGATGGGAGTGGCATAAAAATGTTTTAAATAAATAAATGTCTACATTTTTATATTAATTGGTTTAGAACAGCATCTAGTGAAGTAACTATCTTCTCCTTTCTGTGACCTAAAATCTGAAAAGCAGAAAGTAGAATAAAAAGCAGAATGCCACGTGAAAGTTTGGGTGGGTGGGGAAATGCACAGGAAGGAAAATGTTCTCTGTTTGAAATGGTTTCTTTATATTTCACTGCTATAGTTTCTGTTGGAAACCACACCTTGCTGTTCAAGATTGGGATTTGTCAGTGTATGAGTTAATGTTTGATCAAAAGTCTAAAGGGATTCTGAGAAGTTTCCAAGGGCACTGAGAGACACGGGCGGCTACCACCAATGTGGGCAGGGGCTGGAAATACATTTCAGAATAATTGTACATTTTTATGCTCCAGGTAAGAAATGATATTTCTAAAAAAATTGTTTTTGAAGTTTTTCCTACTACAGAAAATTCATTAATTGTCCTGTGAGTCTGACTTGCAGAATACTTTGCTTCCCCACTCCCTGAATTGTGCATTGGTGCAAACCAGTTTCTGCTAGATGGTTCTTAATGTTTGCCTTACTAAATCTAAAGCCAAGCATCTGTGGAGAGTTTCCTAGCAAACAGTTGAAGGAAGCTATAGGAAGAAAGAGGCTGCTTACTCTAAGTACTGCCATCAAAGTGTCTCTGACTTATGCTGACCCTACTAATAAATGCCTTCCAAATGTCTTGTTCTTGACAGCCCTGCTCAGCTCTTTTACGCTCAAAGGATGTGGCTTCCTTCATGGGATTGCTTCTTCGCATATTTGGTCTTTCTGTTCTTCTTCTGTCTTTAACTTTTATCTTCTGTAAGCTGTCCTGAGGCTTGTTGCAAAGGATGGCATAGAAATGTTTAAATTAAATTAAATTAAATTAACTTTCCCTAGCATTAGTCTATTCTCCCCTGCAAAATGTGGAGATGGAGGGAAAGCTCAATGAGAAAAGTAAAAATATGTTATTGAAAATACTATTAACTAAATGACATTCCCAAAACGTCTCCCCTCGCTACCATTTTGTATCCTAGGTTTTCTCCCTGTGCAATGTTTTCTGATTTCAGCATATTAGCCTCCCCACCCCACTGGAGCTTTCACACAGCACAAAGCCGAGCATCCACTTGTTTGCAAGGAAGGGCAGGAGATCCAAAGGTTCTCTTCCTCTGATGCAAACAACATCCTCAGCTGGAAGAACCCTTCCACCTTCAGAGGAGAACCTTTGGGTCCTACCATTCGTTTGCTTGGGCTGGCTGGAGTGAAATATTACAGAAGAGGCCTTCAGGAATATAATTTGTGAGTGTCTTTCCCCTGAAACTGCCTCCCTGTGCTCTTCCTTTTTGTGGGCCATATTTTCAGAGTTATTTCAGAATAAAATTCCATTCTAAAAGCAGACAAAGAAGAGAGAGATCCTTGTAAGAAAAGATTCCCTGTCTGGAAAGACACCATGAGGGGCAATTGTTGCTTGAACATTTTAATTTTGTCTTAGGATAGATCTGAATCCCTGCTAAGACCTTGTATGTAAATGTTTATAGGAATCAGAACAGAAGGCCTCACCATGATGTTTAAACTGTTTGGACTTCACCTGCTCTGTCTCTTTGTGCTTCAGCAGGTAAGTTCTGAAAAGTTCTCGCCTACTTTCAGTGTGCCAGCTATCTGCATTTTTAAATGGTAGAAAAATCATCCCTAATCCTTTGAATCATGGTGGGACGATCCAGTTCATTTCCCCACAGTAGATGATGGACTGGAGATCTTGTTTCGGTTTATGCATGTGGCAGGGAAACTCTCTCAGCATTTCTGCATAATGATGTCTGTATGCTTTAAATGTGCATTTGTTTCTAATTCATTGTGCTATAGCTCCTCATTCTTTCAAAAAGTCATCTTTTTTCTTGCAAGATATCAAATTTGTCAGGCCTCAAAATGTGGTATTTGCTGCTGAGGAAAATGCAGCATTTTCAGAGTTAAATTACTATCGCAGTTGCTGTGTACTATGGACTGTAGGAGAGTGCAGTCTATTCTAGATTCTTTCTGACATAATGAGTGATAAGTAACAACATTCCTCTCCCGTTCATACATCTTTCTGAGAATCTGGGGGTGGAAGTTAGTTCTTTTTAAGATTGTATAAATATTTAAGAATGCTTCGATGCTGTGCATCCCCCCCAGGAATGAGCCTTTTTTAAAGTAGCAAATAGCATTCAAGCTTACACGGTACAGCCGTGTGCCGCCATTTTGCAAACCTTTTGTTCACTATTATAAACATTTTCTGTGGGGTGTACATTTCCCTCTTCCCATCCTATAGTGCCTAACTAGCCATTTCAGAAAGAAAAGGGTGTGGTTATAGGGAGTGGCAACAAAGCTATTTCATTCTACATTTGTGAACATTGCTCAATGGGAAAGGGGCTGGGTGAAGGGTTGTGTCAAGAGTATCATGCGGTTGGGAGCCATTTTGACTAATAGTGCAGAAAGCTCTCTATTTTTGTACACTAATTTTGTACAACATTTTGGAAAGGAAATATGGGGCCTTTGTTCTCTTTAGAAGCCTGTTTTAAAAGGCGGTGCTCAAAAAATGTTCATTGTGTGGGACACATCTTGTCTTCCCATTGCACTGTCAGTGCTGATTCCAGGTTTGAGAAGCCTCAGACAAAGTGTCTCTGGCGGTCTCCATCTTGTGCTACTGGACCACAGTGGGCTGAAGAGAACTGGGTAGCCAGACAATGTGCAATTTCAACAATTCTCCAGAGCAATACTGTGTCAGCCTGTCCAATGCAGCATACTGTCCTCTTCCAAGTAGAATACATGACCACTTGGCCTTCCACTAATTTGAAAACCAAGGGGTAGTGTGATCTTTCAGCTAAAGATATATCTCTAAAGCACTATTGCTGTACCAGATATTTGACTGCTTATAGACTGGTGAAAGTTTGCAATACCTTCTACAGAACTAGCACTGAAACTACATGAGATTAAAATCTTGGTGCAAATTCTTTATCGTGCACAAATGTGGGATTGGGTAAAACAGATGTTCTGGAGAGCAAAAGCAAATGTTAAGTTCCATTCAAGGCTTTCCTCCTAGTACTCCAATTTCTGTCAGTCTGAACAAGAGTATTTGCTTCTATTTGAAAAGATTGGTCAAAATACCTGACCAAATTAACTTAACACCACTATTTAGACAGAAGAATATGGGTATTTAGGCTTTTTCATATTTCGAAAGACTGGCCCATTTTCTCCCCCATTTTTCTCTCACTGTCTTCCTTTATTTAAGTGAATCTCAAATTAGAATTAGAGATTGGTTATGTTCATTGGATGCTAAGAAAGATGTGAAAACCATCTAACTAATAGGCAGTTTGTTAGTAGGCAGCACCATCATTATAAGGATGAGTGATTTATTTTCTCTTTATTTTAATTCCTTGATTTACTCTGAACAAGAGAGGCATTTAAAGAAGGTATTGAAAACAATACCTTCTTCATATTTGGACCGGAGCTATATAAATGTTCCCATATTTTTATTTCTTTATATATGCAGGGAGGTGGGAACACAAACAGAGGATACTATTTCTTACATAGTCTGTGTAGTGTACACCATTTCCAGGAAAAGACCTGCTGTGTCTTTGCTGGGAGGAATGTCTTGTAGGCTGCTCACTGGGTATACGTGCAAGCTACTTATAGATACGGCTGTTTATTTTACCAATCAAGAAGCTTTATATATTTGCTGTGTTCGCTAAAAAGATTACAGAAAAGTTCATATAAACTGTTGCTTAGGCTGTGCACATGATGAGTTGCCTTAGTTTATCTTTTTTTATTTATTTAGTAAAATTGTAAGAACCTATAGCTTTATGGAATAAAATTAATTGGCTTACTCTAGATGTGCACAGCAATCTCCTTTCACACATGTTGAAGATATATCTAGAATCCCACATCTATAGATTACTCTATAGAAGGATAATGCATGCATGAGATTGGAATTCCTATATATATTTAATATCAAATATTGTCATTGTTTCTGATTATTCAGTTATCCTATTCCTGTGTATTTGAAAAAAATCACCAGTGATCTTCAGACCTGTCTTTTGTAGATGGTATCCAAGCCATAGTTTCTTCTAGTGACTGTAGCACTAAACCAGAGGTGGTAAAGTAGAAGGGAGAGAGGAGAATCGTCTATTTGAAGGGCTGTCAGAGGACAGGCTTCTGCTGGAAAGCATGCACTGTTTGGTGGGCTGTCCAGCCCAAGTCTGGTTTAAGGATCAAGAAATGTAAGGCAGAACAGCAGCCTTGAAATGACCTGTCACTGGTTGGCACTTGGACAGCAGCCTGGGCAGATATGCATGCTCTGGTGTCCCTGGGGAGAGGTTTCATTTATAGCAGCTATTTCCATTTCTGCTTCTATACACAGAGGCAAGCACATTCAAATAGTATGCAGAGCTATTCTGATTATACTATAGTTTTATAGTATAGTATTATATACAGTGGTACCTTGGCTCACCAACTTAATCCGTTCCAGGATTTTGGTCATGACCCAAATTGGTCATGAGCCAAGTTAAATTTCCCCGTAAGGTTCATTGTAAATAAGGTTAATCCGTTCTGTAACCATTTTTTAAATCAGAAAAATGTGAAGCAAAGTGACAACAACAAAGATCATGGCCATCTCCCCCCCCCCCGCCGCACCACAAGCACAAGCACGGCCATCTCCCCGCCCCCTCAGCACAACCGAGATCGCGCCTGTCATCCCTTCACGTGCCTGTCATCCCAGTGTGCTGGGGGATGGGGGGGGGAAGAGACGGGCGTGATCGCGGGCGCACTGGGGGAGGGAGAGATGGGCACAAATGGTGCGCTGGGGGTGGGGAAATGGCCACGATCGCAGTTCTGTTCGTGTAGGGAAGGGGTGCCTGATCAGAGGTGCGCTCCTGCAGGAAAGACAGGCAGAATCTCAGCCATCTCCCCCGCGGCTCTTCTTTGCTGCTCTCGTCTTTCCTACAGCAGTGTGCCTCTGATCACAGACGCCTTCCCTGCACGAATGGAACTGCAATCGTGGCCATCTCCCCACTTGGGGTGGGGGGAGATGGCTGCGATCTTGGTCACCACCCAAAGCGAGGTTTGCAACCCAAGTAAAAATTTTTCAGTAATTTTTGTTCGTGACCCGATTTGTTCGTGAGCCAAAGCGTTTGTGAGCCAAGGTACCACTGTAGTTGTATGGTATGGAGAACCCTTCTGGTTATGCATTTTATTTCCTTCCTTCCTTCCTTTTTTCTTTTCTAGTGATGTGTAAGAGAGCAATTCTAGGAGAAGAGGAGAGGCCCTCTTATGGATATATAACTGGTTAAAGAGCAGAATGTGGAGAGAGGCATAAATAGCCAGTTCTTACAATGGAAAGGTGCCAACACTGTAGGGTTCTTATTGGCCCGCCTGCTTTTTAACTTGTTTATAAACCATTTGGAGTGAAGTGGCCAAATTTCCTGATGAGCCCAAGTTATTCCGAGTGGTCAAAACATTCCAGACTAGGAGAATGGTAACTGAAATGGCAAATGTGGTTCAGCACAAGCAAGTATACAATGTAAAATAATGCACAGTAGGGTGAAGAAAAGAAAACCGAACTACTTATATGTTTCTGGCGTTTGAGTTGCTGGTGAATGACCAAGAAAGATTTTTGAGGCTGTGGTGAAAAGGCTCATGAAAGCATTGATCCACTGTGAAGCTGCTGGGAAATGGGCAAATTCTATGCTGGGGAAGAAATCAAAAGTAAATCTCCCAGAATTATACTGTCCTTATACAAATGTAGGGTGAAACCATACTTGAAATCAGAAGGGTAGTGCAGAGGAAAGGGCAATCAAAATGACCAAGGGGCTGAAGCAACTTCCTGTTCAGGAAAGATTACACCAGTTGGGGCTTTTTAGATAAGATAAAAGATGAGTAACAAGGAGCATGACAAAGGTGTGTACCATTATGCCTAGTGTGGAGAAAGTAGGTAGAGAGGGTTCTCTTTCTCTCTCCCCCCCCGCCCCCCCAAATAATAGATTGCAATCCCCTCCAATGAAGCAGAATGGTTGGAGATTTGGGACAAGAAAAATTCAATGCCTCCTAGTCAAGTGGACTGGATGTTACCTTTAGTATCTGGGACCGCGCTCCTCACAACACGAGTTGCTGGAAGAATGTGAGAGGGATGGTTGAGCTGCATGCATGTCCTGTTGCTGGTTTCACACAGGCAGCAGAATGACTACTGTGTGATCAGAATGCTGGGTTAGATGGCCTTTAGCACATCTCTCCTCCTGTGCTTTTGGGGTGTTGGGGATGGTGTGAGGAGCTGTACTTACCCACACTGACATGTGTCACATGCTTTGCTTGGAAGCTCATGTATGTATAACTGCTGTGGTTGAGTAGGCTATAGCACTAAAGGATACATTTATACATTAAATTGAATTATAGATTCCCTCTATATCCAAGTGTCCTGAGCTGCTGATGGTACTGTAGCTAAAATGGTGCTCCCATGCAGAAGAAGTCTGAGGGAAATACAAAAACTCCTTGGGAAGCCCTCCTCCCCCAGAGTGCAGTGATGACTGAGCATGCTCAATTGCCACTGAATTCTGATGCACTGTGGGGGTCAGTAGATAACTGGGTGGAAGTGGCAATAGAATGGAAGATCCTGGAGGACGGCCCGGCTGACTGAGCACAGACACTCCTTAGTCCAACATTTTGTTACAGGTCCCATCTCACTTGTTAAGAATGAAGTTTCTCCTTATTTATCCCCAGTGACTGGATGCTATTTCAGTGTAATTGATTTTGAATACTTTCTGGAAAACTCTCAGGCCTCCAAAAGATTTTAACCTAATTGTGGGATCAGTAGCCTGCTTACATGCCATACTTGAGATAAGTTGTGTTTAGATTTATTGCCAAATTATCCAGTTCACTTCTTGTCTTGACATCTGCGCATCTCAATCCACCAAGGGCCCTTCTGGGTACATCTCCTAGAAGTGTCCATTTTCAGTGTAGGGCTGTGTGTGGGACTGATTGCTGGTCTAACATTTCCTGAGCTGCTGGGAATCAGAACTGCCTGTCCCCGGCCCCAAAGAGGCAAGCAGGTGGGGTAATCCTAGAGCTGATGACAAAGGCGGCAAAGGATTCCTGTTTCCTCCAAGGTGAAGGGACCTTCCCTAACAGGCTGACTCTTTGGACTATGGCTCCCTGTATTCCTGACCATTAGCCATGTTGGCTGAGCCTAATGTGAGTTGAAGTCAAAACATCTGGAAATCACTGGGTGGGTGAATGTGGTATACGTTAAAACTGAACTTCTTAAAGAATGGAATCTTGAATTTTCATGCCATGGCCAAAGCCTCCGACCTTACATCAACACATGGAAATCTATCCTGTTGCATTGAATACACTTATGGTCCAGGACTTTACCAACAGACTGCTACAACTACTTTAGCTACAGCCATTTCATATAGCACTGGAGCAGGTGCTAGGTTGTAAATGGAACAAGGAAATAGGACCCACCCTTCCTTACTACTTCATTAACTAATGATTCACAAGGCAGTCAGACGTTTTACAGCTAACATAAAACAATTCAAATGAACAGGGAAGGTCCTGATATAAGGATTCAGCTTTGAACCCTGGAGTTTAATTTGAAGAATCAGACTTTGATCTTTCTAACTAGGACATATTTCTCCATAAGATATGGGAAAGATACTCTCTCTAAACAGTATTTGGCAAATGTGATACTTAGATATACAAAGCTCAGGAGATCTTTTCAGCCATGTTGAACAGAGCAAGTACTATGAACATCACTAAGGAGTTAAGGAAGAATATTAAAAGATGCAGGTGGAACAGATACACTAAAACACATAATTTAAGAGCTGCGGAAATAAATGAAAAGTAGAGATGTTTGCTTGGTTCATAAGTAATGGCTAGTTTTCCTTTCTGTTGGTTTTGTTTGGTGAAGAAACAAATACAAGATATGAGTTTATGTTTAAGAGTTCAGACCTTATTTTTGCTTATGGAGTCAGATTCTCAGATCTGTTATTTGTCTTTTAGCATCACCAGCCTGCTTTTCTGTGAAATGAATGTTTGTGTCTGGTGATGTTCAGGATGGCAACCGTTTTGTGAATGGACACATCATGGAAGCACTCATGAACTTTCCCAAATCCAAAATGTGTCTATTGACCCAAGAAGGTTGGATGCTTTGTCTTGGCTGTTGGGGAGAATAGTTTAAACAAAAAGATAGCATTTCTTTTATGAAATTTTGATTCCTAACAAAAGGAAGGTAGAACACAATTTTTAAACCACATGTCTATACTCACATTTACATTACATAAATATAGAAATTACATTTCTATACTTATCAGTAGCCAAAGCTCTCTGGCTGGGTCACAAATTCTGATAATGTCTGAAGTTGATTATGTGATGACAGAGCAATATATATTAGAGGATAAAATCAGAAAATGAATTCATTGAAGAATATTATTTATTTATTTATTTATTTATTTAAAACATTTTTATGCCGCCCCCATCGCAACAAAGCCTCGGGGCGGCTCACAACAAAAACAAAATATACAAATATAACAATTATACAACAAAAATATTAAAAACCGGTGCATCTCGGCTTGAAAGATTTAAAATCCTCTAAATGCCAATAAATTAACAATTAAAATAAGTTTTAAATAAAAAGATCTTAGCCTGGCACCGAAAAACAAATAACGATGGTGCCAGGTGGACCTCTCTGGGGAGCGCATTCCATAGATGGGGCGCCACCACAGAGAAAGCCCTCCTCCGGGTACTCACCCTCCTAATATCATTCACAGAGGTTTCCCAGAGAAGGGCATCTGCTGCTGATCTCAAGGGGCAGGAGGGCATATATGGACGCAAGTGTTCCTTTAGATACCCAGGACCCAAGCCATTGAGGGCTTTATAGGTCATAACCAACACCTTGAATTGGGCCCGGACTTCAATCGGGAGCCAGTGGAGCTGACGGAGAACTGGGGTTATATGAGAACAATGCCCAGTCCCCGTCAGCAGCCTGGCAGCTCTATTCTGCACCAATTGAAGTATCCAGACCATCTTCAAGGGTAATGAATGCTAATGTTTGGCATAAGAGACAACTTTAACATTTGCAGTAGTTATTATCAATTAAATGAAGAGTTTTAGAGTAATCTCTTATCTGTGCCTAGTTTAGAAGTGCACGTTAACCAGTAAATTTGCTTTACAATTTCTTTTATCCTTAGTGGAGACGTTAGTATAACCTAGGTGGAGAATCAACCTTTGAACAGTATGCACCAGCGCAGAATTTTAATAGACTATAGAACGTGAGTCATTCCACTCATAAATGAGGAAATCAGTGAGGCATCCAAAGAAGAAAGTGTTGTAGCAAAGAGTGTCTTCAGTTACCCTCACAGAGACTGGATAAATGTGTATTCCAGTCATGGCAAAGAGGTGAGAGCTGGACTTAGATCCAACCAGCAGGGAGGCAAGCCTGGACTTCACCAGGACCTCGTGTCAGATGTGAATGTTGTTGAACTGACTGGAAAGAGTGGCCACAATTTTATCTGATTTAGTGCATATGCATGTGGAATTCATAAGGCATCATACGGAAATTGCCAAGGAGGCCCAATACAATCACAGAGGATTTCAGAAAAGAAATATTCTCTAAAACAATTCAACCACCTTGATTCCTGAAGGAAGATGCTGCTGCCCATATCAGTAGACCGTCAGTGTCTTCTTCAGTTGGGAGTGAAGAGAGGTAGAATGAGGAGAGGTGGACAAAGCCTTTCTCCCCTTTGAAGCGTCTGCCCTATTTTCACTTGGAGACCAGGTTGGGGAACCTATGAGGAAAGGTTATAAAGTCTGGGGCTTCTCAGATCAGAAAATGGTGTATAAAGGGGGATGTAATAGAGGTGATTTTGTTTGATGCAGAAAACATGGATGGGAAGAAGCTTTTCCCCCTCTTTCATGATAACTGTACAAGTTGTTGGCCCTGACTGTGTCTGCACTGGCCACATGCTGGTGCTTTTTGTCTCATATGCATGGAGATCCATCTAGATATCAGCTGGCAAGCAGCCTTTTCTGTGTGTGAAGATCACTGGACCAGACACATCTGTTTCACTGCTAGACTTTATTCTCTCTATATAGGTTTAATTGTTCTAAGCAGAGTTAACAAGGTTGCAGATGGTTACACTGCCAAATTTTCCAGTTTCATCATTCCTATTTTACCTCCAAGGGAGAAAATGAAACCAAAATTCAATTCCACATTTTGAATGTGATTTTTTTAAAGTTAAAAAATGAAATTCAAACATTTTAGGCTTGTTGACATTTGTGGATTGTTATTACTTGGGTGAAACTCAGATATGAATTTTCATAACCACTACAGCTATCAAATACTAAATATTATTGCATATTATCCATACGATGCTAGAAGAAGAAACTTGATTTCCAACTGACAAAGCAATGCCACTGTTGCTGCTGCTCCAACTACAAAAGAATAGAATTACTCTACGTTAAGTTTCATTACATCTTATTAATGCAGACATTTTTAACAATGTTAACAGTCTCTGCTCCTTTTTCCTCTTTCTTGTAGGTTGCCTGCCAAAGTGTAAACCAGTCTCAATTCACTGGACCTCTGGAGAACAAGAACTTCACTGTTCAAGAGGGCAGACTAGGAACAATATATTTATATCGGGTAATCTGATATACTGACTATTTGAAATAAATGTGCAAAAATGAATGAAAGAATTTGAAAATGAAATATTTAAGTTTAGAAATTGGAGAGGGATGGGTGGAAGAAACATGCGATATGAAAGAAAAAATGAGTTCTGATTTTTTCCCCTATGTCCCAGTTTGCTTTTGAACCACCTGTTGTCAACTTGCGACTAACTGGTGAGACAGACAACGTCATACAGATGACACCAACAGATGGAACTCTGTTTCTTACTGGACCTCTGAACTGGGAAAGCAAAAACGTTCACAGGCTGCAGGTAAAACAAGGTTGTATGTTTAACAGATCAGTCCAGCTCAATTCTCTATTCTGCTCTCTTCCCAAAATGGCCAACTTGTGTGAAAGCAACAACTCTGTTCCACTCTTGCCTCTCAGCAACTGGTCTTCACTGGCATAATGCCTCCGAAGCATGAAAGTTGCACTTTGCTATGACTAACCATGTTGGATAGCCTGGTTACATCACCAACAGTTGTAAAACAGCAGAAGAATCTGCTCGCTCTGTCTCCTATTACCTCAAAACATCCATTCACCCGTATTCAGAACTCCTGAGTGGGGCAGTCCCCCTGCTCCCTTCCCTCCCTGTGCATACACATTAGTCATTTCCTCTCAAGCTTTTCCAGATTCCCGCTGCCTGGACTTGCTTTGTTTTGCTTGCCATTCAGTGCCATGAGAAAGCAGAGAACCAGACATGAATGCAGCACTGCATGGGTGCACTTGATGCATGTCCACATTTTATCCCAAGCCCATGTGCCACCCCCACGCCTCCTCCTGGTGCTCCCTATCACCAGATTCTCTGCTGGTAAAGCAAAACCAATCTATCAATGAATCAATACTTAACTTTTAATGATTTTAATATTCTTGTTTCTGTTTTAAGGTTGTGTTGCTTTAAACAGTTGTGCCCTGCCTTGATGGCTTTGTAGCAAATAAAGTGGCTTATAAATGCTAAAAGTAAATACTATAGCCTCAGCCATTGAGAAGAGCGGTGAGTTAGCATTGGCAAGAAGTAGGCTGGAAATCTTGAAAAGCTGACCATGGCGTTGGGTATCTTTTATGGTCTAGACAGGCACAGGGGGTTTGAATTCCCAGCTAGGTATGCTGAAAATGGCTCCATTCTTGTAGCGGACACAGAAATAACCACCCCAGCTGCTTCTCCAATGTCATAAGTGTGATTTTGGAGATGGGCTTTTGTGGGCATTCTGGAGAGGGGAGAGGACCAGGCATGAGGCATGCTGGTAGCACTTCAGCCTCCTTCCTTCTTGTTCCAGGGCACTGCACTTGGGCAGCTGAAATCAGCTAAGTGCTTTGCAGAGCAATAATAGCTCCTCTGCACTCTTCCCACCCTCCACAGGGTGCCCATAATCCTCTGAGTTCAGAGGGTTGCAAGCATCCCTGAAAGAGTGCATCCTAAGTAACATGCAGGACCAGCCTGGCCTCTAGACATGGTGAAGTGTCTGCCTTAGGCAGCAGGTCTGGGGTGTTATGAAAAAAGCAGAAAAGTGTGTATTTTTATTGTTAGGCATTAAGACAGACACTGGTGTGCAAAAAGAACTTGACTGGCTTTTAGGTACTTGCCTTGACTTTGGTGGGTGTGGAGGCATCATTTCCTGCTTGCAACAGCCCTGTCCTGTAAACAAATAAACTCTGGCAAGAAAGTAACAACAAACTGATTTATAGAAATGACTTTGTTTTAATATAGCTTCTTTCTTTCTTGCTTGCTTTCTTCCCCTCATCCCTCAAATTAGGTGGAAGGGTTGAATGAAAAAGGACAAACAGTGAAAGGTCCATATTCTATCTTAATAATTGTTGAAGATATCAATGACAACCCACCGCAGTTTGATCAGAAAAATTACACTGGTGTAGTGAGACAACGCTCACGGCCAGGTATTTATGTCATTCTGTATTTTATTGACCTTTTACTTGAGTCTCCTAGAAGTTTCCAACGGGTAACAAAAATGATGTTGAAATTAATATGTAACACTAATTTTCAAGCTGTGTCCCCAGTTGTATTTTCAAGTGGTCTGGGAGACCACAACAAACAAAACTGAAGAGCCAAAACTTTCACTGATGTTTCAGAGCATTTCTGAAGAGGCTGGCCACATCTCGGTTCCACTCGTCACTGAAGAACAGCTTGCCTCTTCACTGCATATAATTGCAGTGGAAACAAAGAAGTCCTGATTACACATTTTCCTGTGCCTATATAAATATTTTGGGGACATGGGGCATGTGCAAACCTAGAGATGCTTTTGCAGATTCAGATGCTTCTGGATGAAATTTTTATCCACCCATAACCTGGCTTCCTTCGTACAGGAGTGATAATGGCTTCCCTTCATAGCTTTCCATGCTTTCCCCTGTTACTTCTGCTCTCCTTTTCCTTACTGAGGAAAATCTGTTCAGTAAGAAAAGATGGAATTGTTGCATAATGCCTTTGGACTGTTAGTGCCAGGGCCCATCCATCTGGAAGGACCCCTTGATGGAAAAAGCAGTGCTGGAGTGGTGCCAGGATGCCACCCACTTTTTTTCAGAAGGCTATAGAAGAATTTCCTAAAAAGAACCCACTTTCTTTGGGCACAGCTGAAAAAGGTTATCGCATTTTACTTAGAGTGTTAGAATTCCTAAAGCCCATCCTGTGTTGAAGATCTCTGCTTAATGTTTCCAATTAAAAAGCCAGACCTTTGCAATTAGTGTCCTAAACTAGGTTTGCTGTTGTGTTCTGAAGAGGTGGTGTGCATATTTAAACCAGGAAACCATGGTTGGCTCTCAAGACTTTTCTACAAGAGTTATTTTTTGTGCACTTGTCATTCTTTACTTACAGTTGTTCAGAGGGTCTTTGGACAGTCCATTAGGTGATGTCATGCTATCTATTGCTGCTTCCAGCAAGGCTTTTCTTTTCTTTTCTTTTCTTTTCTTTTCTTTTCTTTTCTTTTCTTTTCTTTTTTTGGAAACAATGTTCAGTTCTCAGACTTGCCTTGAAAACAAAAGTTCATATGGTGGATAAACAGCTAATTAACAGGCTTGTGTCAAAAAGGAGGTGGCTGCTGCCATTCAGTGGAGAATGACACCTTCATTGTCTGTTCTCTTTGTGTCTATTTTTTCCCCTTCTGAATCCTAACAGGAAAGCCCTTCATGTTTGTCAGGGCTACTGATCATGATGATCCATCCACTCCGCATGCGCAACTGAGCTACAGCATCGTCCAGCATTTCCCCAGCCCGCACAAGGAGATGTACTTTCAGATTAACAACATCACAGGAGCGATTTCCACAACTGTTGCTGGTAGGCATTTCAACCTTTCCTGGTTCAAAATAAGTAAGGCCACAATTCAGTGCAGTCTATGTTGTAAGCCGCCCCGAGGCTTCGGCGAATGGGGCGGCATAAAAATGTTTTAATAAATAAATAAATAAATAAATAAATGCTTAGACAGAAGAAAGGCTTACAACTCCCAGCATGACTGCTCATCTGCAGGTAACTCTAGGGATGTGTAAGAAACTTGTTTAGGTCATTTGTGTTAGGATTTTATCCAGTTTACACCTTCCTGAGCAAAACCGAATTTAGAAGCACTCTGTGGTCAACATCTATACATCTCTACAGTTTGATTTATAGACCAAGAAAAAGAGAGAGAGAGAGGTAGGTTCAACATGTGCATTTCAAAAATTCATACACTTAAACATTAGTAATTACATACATTTAAAATTAGTACATTTCAAAATCAGTGCATTTACTAATGCGTACATTTTAAAAATGCACACTGGTGAGGCATACATTTGGAGAAGCTTTGACACATTTTCATGAAAAAAGAGGAAAAAATCAAAGTTCATTATATGATACAGGTTCAAGTCAGAAGGAACTTTTTATTCATTTTTATTTATTTATTTTTCGATTTATATCCTGCCTTTTTCCTACAAAGGGCTCAAGGCAGCTTACATCATTCTCCTCCTCCATCTTATCCCCACAACAACCACCCTGTGAGGTAGGTTGGGCTGAGAGTCTGTGACTGGCCCAAAGTCACCCAGTTGGCTCCATGGCTGAATGGGAACTAGAACCCAGATTGTCTGAGTCCCGGTCCCATGCTCTTAACCACTACACTACACTGGCACTAAATTTTGAGATGCAATTTGGTGGATTTTCATGAGTTTTGCTAATTTGCACAGCACCAGTGAACTCCTCCCCACTTTCCTCATCAGCATGATCTTAGTTGAGTTTTACCTGGGCAGCAGGGCTAACCACAGTTAATGCTAACCATGTTTCCTTCATAAATTACACCTGCCTATTAGGAGCCTGTTTCTGGGCCCAGTTTGAAGTGCTGGTGGCTACTTTTCTAGATACGTATGGTTTGGGAGCTGGTTAAATGAAGGACGGCTTTCCCATGTATGAACCTTCCTGTCTGTTATGGTCATATTATGGTTTAGTGGTTTGAGTGTTGGGTTGGGGTTCTGAGAGATTCGGGTTCAAGTCCCTGCTCAGCCATGGATGAGTGATGACTTTGATCAGCTGCTCACTGCCAGCCTCACCTACCTCACAGGGCTGCTGTGAGGATGAGACTGAGAGGAAGAAGAGGATTAGGTAAGCCATCTTCAGTTCCTTGAAAGGAAAAACATGGGATATACATATAATAAATAAAGAGTAAATCACTCTTAAGTGCTCCCTGAATTTTGATTATCTGCCTTATCTTCTTGGTAGTCATGCCCTGGCTCTGGAAGACTCATCTCTCATGGCCTTCTGCCACACAGTGCAGACCTTTCCTTTTTGGAACAGCTTTCTGGTAGACCTCGTGTTTGTCCTGGCATTAAACTGGCTATCGATTCTGTTGAGCTATGATTTTCGTTCAGCTATGATGTTTGTGCTGCTTGGTTGATGGCATATGCTTTTATTTAATACATAGGTTACCTTGCCACTTGAGTCCTTAACTGTGTTTTGGAACTGCACTGTTTTATTGTAAGTTGTGAGCACCTTGGACTACTTGTAGGCAAAGATCAATAGAATTTTTCAAAATAATGCAAACAGCTGTGCAGCAACAAAGGGAACAATTCGCTTTAAGGAATGGATGGGACCTGGGGAAGGAGTGCACATTTTTCCTGATTGGGAAAACATGGTTTGCAGGAACCAGCATTGTGGCTCGACTGCAGACAAAGGCAGGGGAAGGAGGGTTCTAGAGTAGAAATTACAAAAACTGGCACTGGTCTACAGGTAAAAATAAATGATGGTTAATTATTTCAATGGAAGGAAACTGGGGGAGAGAGAATATTTTAAAGTCTTTAGCACCCTCTATTTTACAAACCATGATTTACAATGGAATCAATATTATACCATATTTGCATGTGACCTTCATCAAGAGTATTGTGCTAGTTAATGAAGCCCACTCAAATCTAGACAGCAGACTAAAAAGCAGAGACGTCACCCTGCCAACAAAAGTGCGTATAGTCAAGGCTATGGTTTTCCCAGTTGCAATGTATGGCTGTGAAAGCTGGACCATAAGGAAGGCTGAGCACTGAAGAACTGAGGCCTTTGAATTGTGGTGCTGGAGGAGACTCCTGCGAGTCCCTTGGACCGCAAGGCAATCAAACCGGTCAGTCCTAGAGGAGATCAGCCCTGACTGCTCTTTAGAAGGCCAGATCCTGAAGATGAAACTCAAACACTTTGGCCACCTAATGAGAAGGAAGGCCTCCCTGGAGAAGAGCCTAATGCTGGGAACAATAGATGGCAAAAGAAGAAGGGACGGCAGAGAATGAGGTGGCTAGATGGAGTCACTGAAGCAGTCGGCGTGAGCTTAAGTGGACTCTGGGGGATGGTGGAGGACAGGAAGGCCTAGAGGAATGTTGTCCATGCAGTTGCGATGGGTCAGACACGACCGCGACTAACAACAACAACAACGAAGCCCACTATTTCATTTATTCCTGGCTTGATTTCTAGGAGCTAAGTATTTAGATCCAGAAAAAGAAGCCGAATTTCTCCTTGTTGTGGCAGTCAATGATATGGCAGGACAGTCGATAAATTCCTTTGCCACCACCACTGATGTTCACATCATTGTGATGGAAAACCTTTGGAAATCTCCTCCACCTGTAACTATAAAGGAAAATTCCACTGAAGCCCACCCCAAAGCTATTACAAAGGTAAGATTCCTAACAAGCCCGGAGTCAACAGTCCAAAGCTTATTGTCTGATTTCCCCATGTGCTTGACCCTTGCAGCAAATTCACTTTAGTTCAATGCTCAAATGATGGCTTGGGCAGGTCATTTGCATGATCCAGCAAGCAACAATGGGTTTTTAAACCTTTGCTGGTCTGTCTTATCCAATCCCTGTCAAGGTATTTCATAGTGGAATGTTTGGATTTTAGAAAGCATGAACAGAAACAGAGGCCTGTTCTGTGGTTTCTTGGTATCGCCTTAGCTTGTGGTGTCATCTGAACCGAGAAAACACAACTCACCATGGTACCAAGGCCAGCAGTATAGAACCCCTTGGCAAGAGCAGCACATTGGCACTCTTGTTAAGCAACTGGCCAGAGCAAACCATTGACTGCTGCCAATTTATGCAGCTGTATTTATTCAGAGGTGCCCCTGTTCCACTTGCCCCCTGCCCTAAAGTTCTGCTCTGGGGCAGGAGTGAATGGTCTGCTGGTTGGTGCTGGGAAAACAGCAGCTCTGCATAGTTGATACTCCCACCACCTTTCCCACTCAAGTGGGAGGGCAAGAATTTGCTGAGTGGTCGCTCCTGGTTGAGGGCTCCACAGCTCAGCAGATTCCCCCTCTGGTGTTCCTCTTGCGTGCAAGTGCGGGGCGGGGGGCACTATCAGTTGGGTGGTGGTACCTGCTTGGGGACTGTGTGCCTCAGCAGAGTCCCCCTGCAAGAATCCATTGGGTGGAAGTTTTGCTTGGGTGTTTATTGGATAGCTGGCTCTGGTGGTGGCCCACCAGAACAGCAAAAGGGGTTTGCCACTTCACCTCACTGCTCTCTACCCACCTTGTGGTACCTACAATGGGGTCATTTCTGGGTGAAATCTCAAGCCACCATGGGTACAGCAACTCTGGAAGAAACTACACATTGCCAGGTGAGTTGTGGGCCTCAGACAAGCCACCCTGTGGAAAATGTCCTGGGTTTTCTGACATAACAACCCATGGTGGCTTGTCACCAGGATAGGCGGTTGTGTCATGCAATCCTAGTGTGTCATGATGGTCATTAGGTTAGATGGCTGTAAAGGGGGACTAGCTAGGAGGCTGGTGGGTGCCATTACTAACAGTAATGGGTAGTCACATTGGTTTTATGGAGGGCCTGTGTTATCTGGCAGAGCAGAAGTGACAGACCTAGGCTTTGTTTCTCCACCCCGCTTTTTGTTCCTTTTAAAAAAAGATGTGCTTTTAAGCTGTGGGACTGGAGCTGAGAGACTTCAAGAAGTTGCTGATCCTCTGGTTATGCCCTCCCAGCCACCTTTTCCTCAACTGCATCCTGCCCTGAGGTCAGGGCTCTTAGCCTCAAGTGAGGAAGCTGTTGTGGTTTTTCCCATGGTACTTCAGTGGGCAGAAGGAAACAATCCCTATAGATTTCCTCCAGTAGCAGTGTCAACAGCCTCACAACTCCAAAATATCCTATGGTTCCTGGAAGATTTTCTCAGGGACCATAATGCTGTACATTAATAACTGTTGATTAAGGTTGTTGTGTTATGCATGTTTTTTTGGTATGTCACTTTGCATACCCATTTAAGTTGGAAAGCAAGAAACAAATAATTTACGTGAAACAAAAAACAGAAATGAATTACAAATCTTCATCCTTTACAGCTTTATTTCTATCTTAAGCCAATCACCCAGCATTAAAAAGAGAGAATACAGTTCCGCATCATATCTCACTGTCATGAAACCAGAGCTTCCCCTTTTAAAACCTGTTGCCTTGTTCTTCTTTGAAATATCAGGTCCAGTGGAATGATCCAGGGGCGATATATGAAGTTACACAGAGGAAAGGGGCTGTTGGTAAGCTCCCATTTATGGTTGACAAGAATGGAACTGTTTATGTAACTGAACCACTGGACAGAGAAGAAAAAGACTTGGTAAGTATGTGGAAAAGGATGAACAGGGGCTGGGTGCAGGAGCTGCTGGAACTGTTCTGTCACAAGCAGCAACAAACTTAACAATACTATTGAATGATCAAGCACAGCATCACCAAGGTAGAAGCCACCATTGGACCATACACGGCCCAAGGAAGAATTCTCTTTCACAGCCATTGTACACTTACCTGAGAGTTCCTTCTAGTAGTCAAATGACAATAATACCAAATAGTGCTTTGTTAGTGATAAAAACTGTGGTTCTCTTTGACCTTGGGATTTGATTCATTGGTTTGGAATCAAAACTCAATAAATATGAGGATGCCAAATTATTTGGTTGATGGGTACAATAGGAAGGCTAACAGACTTGGGAGAACACATTGCTGTCAATTCAGTTAGCATAGCATAGTAAATCAAAGATTTTAACAATAGGTTTAATTGTTTCAGTCTATAGCAGATGAAAACTGGTTTTTTTTTTAAATTTGGGAGAAATTATCTATAGTTCACCAGTATTTGCAGGACATGTTGAACTTAAAGTGTCAAAAAGAAGCCTGAATGTTGGCTGGCACCTGCTTTTCAAAGCCTATCGCTAATAATTTGGTGGTCTGACCTGAATTCAAATTTGTGGCTTTGCAGTGCAATAGATCAGCATAAACACTGTCAAGAAACATAGAAACAGAGAGAGTCAGCAGGGGTCTCCCAGGATCCCCAGTTCCAGCAGGCTCTGCTAGTGACATGCCTATAGAAGATTTATAGAATATTTTCTAAGAAGATTTTAATTGAAATGAATTGATTGCTTTATTGATATGCAACTTCACTCAGAAAATGTTATCATCAAAAATATGATGAACTTGAAAAAAGACAGCAACAAAGCTATATAGAAATTAATATAGACAAAATGGTTTAAGAATGGCATGATATTTGCATTGATCAAGCATTTAAGGGTCCTCTCCTGTGACTGAGCCCTTGCTTCCTGTGTGCTCTGAATACTATTTGTAGAGCAGGCAGAATCTGCATCTCTGAGCACAAATCTGCTTCAGTTTTGGTGGCTTCATGGAAATTCCACTTCCCCTCAAGAAGCACGAGCCTAAATGGGCCCAGTCCTGCTCAGGCCTTGGGTTTAGTCTGAATTAGGTCCCTACTAATCAGCATTTTCTCCCGAAACCGTCCAGGTATTTTATTGTCTGCAGTGATTTCTCTTGCTGCTCTTTTGGCAACTTAGGTGGTATAAAACTTTCTTTTTCTTGCCAGCAGCAAGGTCACAACAATGCAACAGTTCCCAGCAGCCTGTAGGATTGTGTCTTTCCACAGCTGTCATCCATCTTAGTCCATCCTGGCTGTTCTAGGGCTTGCAGAATTCAATGATTCCTTGTATCTCCCAAGACCAGACTGAAAATCTTCATTGACTTTGTATCCATTGCAGGACCCAGTCCAAAGAATTCATAGCACTAAATAATTAGGGAGCAGGATATTAAGAGGACTGTCTTCCCTCACACAATCCTGCCCACCCGCTTAGGTCTTTGATGGAGACAGTGCCTGCTCCAGGTTTTGGAGGGCTTTTGGGCAACATGCCTTCAATGAGCCCCCTCTCTCAGTGAGTCTGTCTGCTTGTCATCATTGTCATCAGCTGCTATTGCTCCTCATCCTCTTTCCTGGTTTGGGTATCATTTGCTTGCCAGAGAGCCAATGAGCAAGGAGGCAGTGGCATCTCCTTCTTACCACTTCCTTTCTCTTGGCCAGAGTAAGAAGCAGGTGACCAGTCAGGATGGTGAAGAAGAAATGCAAGCCCGGGAAGAATCTTCCCAGAGCTCCCGTTTAGGGTGTGGTCCTTTGGTGGGTGCCCAACCCTACCAGCTCTGGATGGTATGGTCTATGTCACTCCACCATTAGGCGTGTGGCTAGTGGTTAGTCCTGGAGAGGTCTTCTTGGTTGCGGCATCCAAACTATGGAACTCCTTTCCTGCAGACACATTTAGCTTCACCTGTATTATTTTTGGGTGTTCTAGCAATACCTTCTTCTCCCTCTTTATATTTTGGTAGTGGCTGTTAGGTTGTGGCTGTTGTTTTGCTTCCTAATTTGCCTTTAATCTTTGATAATGTTAGTTTTTGGTTAATTATTGTGTACTTAGCTAGAATCCTGACATCTAAAGGAAATAAATACGCTCTTGATTTGTGGTTTCCACTTTCTTTTGGTGAGGTGGGATTTTGGCAATATATTTTGCATTGTCTTTTTACTAAGGCTGCAATCATATAAACATTTACTGTAGAGCATGCTACCTTGAATGCAGTTGGATTATCTTCTGAGTAGAAATATGAATGCACTATAAAGCGACTATCGCTATTACTGTGATTCCTAATTACGATATTCCTGTTACAGTACACATTCTTTGTATTTGCAAAAGACGAACAGGGAGCGCCACTGGCCTTCCCACTGAATATCACAGTCACTGTAGAAGACATTAATGACAATCCTCCGGTGTGTGACAAAGCTGTGACTAAATTTGAAGTTCAGGAGAATGAAGCTGCAGGTAAGAAAGCGCTGCATCAGAAAAGAAATGCATAGCTCCTTTGGAAACTGAATAACTAGAAAGAATAATTTTAGTTATGGTGGCAGCTGTTCATATAAGCAGAGGTCTGACCATCAAGAATTTGGACAGCCACCCTGAAATGTATCTCCAACTGAGGCATCCATGTTGTCTGTTGATCCCATATCTGTCTATACAACTGTCAGTGGCAATTGGAGGATCATGTCCGTCTGCTTGCCCCAGATCAGCTTTCCCCAGCTTGGTTCTCTCCAGGAATTAGTCATACTTAGAGGAGGCTCATTGAAATCAGTTGGGTGTAAGTTTGTCATGATGCAGCTCCAGATGCACTCCAGATGCTGCAGCTCTCCATTTCCTGCCAGCAGGAGAGTTGTAGACCAACATACCTAGAGACTGGGGAAAGCTGCTCCATTTTCTAATGCTTCACTCATTCCTTCCCCCTATGCTCCATTAGTTGACTTGTTTTGACCCCTGAAATCTTTTTTTTACTGTTGAAACTTGATTTATTTTATATTTGCATATGCATAACTCGACTAATTTCAACTTCCTTTGTTTTTGCCAGGGAATTTGGTAGGACATTTTCAGGCTTCAGACAGGGACAAGAAAGATAGTTTAAACTCCCGCCTGAAATACAAGATTCTGAACCAGATCCCCAAAGTCCCTTTAGATAATTTGTTTCGCATTGCAACAGAAACTGGAACGATTAACTTAGTCAAAGCTGGCTTAAGCAAACAAGTAGCCTCTAATTATCTTTTGAAGGTGGAAGTGACGGATACAGGTCAGTATACCGACATATAAGTATTATACCTACAACGCTCATACATTTTTTGAAGGCTGTGCTATCTCTGAGATATTAAACTGATGTAGTGGGTGCATTGTAAGGCAGGACTGTATACAGAGTTGCTTTTACAGAGTTTTTGGCTGGGTCTCCCTGTAATTCAAAACAAAAAACGATACAAGGAATTGAATCTTTGCTCACAATGGCCATGATGTTTTTATCTAGGATGTTAGCATCCCATCCTTTCTTCAGTAAGTAATGGCAGGGTATTGAGTGATTGCCCCGCTTTATCTTCTCAACAGCCCTGTAGCTAGGTTAAGAAATATTTTGTTTGGTTCTTAACTCATCCAGTGAGCTTTCTGGCCAAGCAGGGATTCCAGCCTAGATCTTCCTTTCCAATGCTAAGACGACAGTTTACTGCATTCCGCCGCGCAGAGGGAACATCTTCTTAACAATCTTAGGTGGAATAAATAAATCATGCATTAGTGTATTCAGCTTGCACTGGGTAGAAGGGCCATGTTTGCATAGCGGGCTGACTTGCTTACAGGAAGGATAAAAGGGAAGGTTGCCAGTGCAGAGGGGAGAGAGAGAAAGAAAGAACGTCAAAGAAGATTACCAGATACCATAGAACAGCCTTCCCCATCCTGGTGCATCCAAATGTGTCAGACTGTAATTCCTGTAATCCCCAGCCAGTATGACTAGTGGCCCATGGCTATGGTGACTGGGAATTATGGGAATTGCAGTCCAACACATTGGGCACACCAAGATGGGGAAGGCTATCATAGAAGAGTGTTTCTAAACAGAGTTCTAGGCATATATTAATAGGCATGCAATACATAGAACTCTTCCACAGGAGGGGGAGGCCTGGACCAACCAGGAGGAATGCTGGGTGTGCATCATCAGTAGGCAGGCAGAGACTCTGAGTACGTAGGTGGTTGGGGAGTGGTAGCCAGGCAGGTCAACAAAGAGGGCCTGGCCTCCAAGCATATTGGTGGCAGGAGTGGGGCTAGCTGCATATCCCATGCCCCCTCCTCACTCCTTATTCCTAGGAATGGGGTAGTGTGAACCCCCTATTAAATATACTTGCATAGGTGAAGTCAGAATCAGACTACATGTAGCATTAGCCACATCTTTGAATCCCATAATTGGGATGGCAATTCTTCTTTTCATTTTTTAAAACTCACAGCAGTTTTGGAACGTGGGAGGAGTCTCTGTACTTGATTGCTTTCAGAGGCAGTGTTATGGGGTGGCCCGGCAGGGCTGGAGCATGACATCTTTCACATGGAGCCCCAACTCTCTGTGAGGCAAATTGTTCCAGTGCCCTGCACTCCATGGGCACTTGCTGAAATAAAGGTAGAGGGGTCTGGATGATCCCTGCTACACCAGATGCCCTGGATTGCTCAGCTTTTTGCTGGCACGTGCTTTATCTCCTGCTGCCCCCCAGTTTTCCCCTAAAATCAAATGCCCTGCTCTCCTCTCCTCACACACCCCTTTTAACCAGTAGGGATGCTCTTAGGAGAACAGGGTCCTTTAAAGATGAGCAGACCCAGAGACTTTAGAGCATAAAGTGCCAAAGGCAAGTTTGTTTGTTTGCTTGTTCTGTTCTGAGGCCGGAGCTTCAGATTGCAGTAGGGAGGGAGCTATACCCATTGGATTGTATGTGTGGAGGTGGAATCTGTATTGGTTTGTTGTATACAATACCCCACACTGTTTTCACATGGAACTCAGCCCCCTGCCACAGTCTGGATCAGGTTAAGCCTCCCCAGGCTTGTAGCTGCTGTAAAAAGGAATAGGAGAATCCCCAGTTATGAGGTTCACGAGATGGGGCTTTTCCATCTCGTCTGAACCTGATGTTTGCCCCGAAGGATGTCATTACAACTCAGAATGATCTCTGACTTGCTGTATTGTTCTAATACTTCAATCTGATGCAGAATTATTTGGGAGCAAGCTGCACTGAACTCCATGAGACTTACTTCTGATTTCATAAGTATAGCATTACACTGGTACCGCCTCCTGCATTGCTGACTTGCAGGAAAAGCCAGCTACTTGTTATACTTGCATGCAGTGTTCTTTTCCCACATGGCTATTAGTGACAGGTAAGAAGTTCCAGCTGGTACCAGATGAGCCTCAGGCAAACTTCTTTCTCTTCCCTTCAGCAACCCTTCTGAAATCACAGGGATAATAGTCTCCTTGCTTCCAAGAAATGCTTACAGCTGTCTAGAGAGTAGTTGCAAGCATTATTCCAAGACCATATATGTGGAGCATTTTGAATACTGGGAAGTGCAGTATGCACATTATTTGCATTCTTATTAAATGCTGAATGACCAGTCTGGCTCACATTTTTCTCTGTTAGGGGCTGCATTCCCTTGTGGGCAATCTATCAGGGATTGCATGTCGGTGGTGGTCAGAGCTGGAGGTGGAAATGCCTTTCCCACTTCCTTCTTCCTGCCCAGCAGACTGCCACAAAACTCGCTCTTGCAGGATTGCTCTTGCCAGAGGGTAGAACTGCTATTTTTGAAATTTGCATGGTCCTGCTTTAAGACCTTTACAACAGGAAAGGTCTGAAATGTCTGAGAATCATTGTCCTGCATAGAATGGCTCACACCAGATCATGCTGCATTGTCTTTCCCACAGACTTCACAACTGTGTGCGATGTACAAATAAATGTAATTGACATGAATGATCAGATTCCAATTTTTGAAAAAACAGATGTGAGTATTATTATCTTTTTAAACAAGATATTCAGCATGTTAATGTAGGGTTGAGGTTACCTGCTAGAGTTGTGGTTCAGCCTTAGCCTTGGTGTCTGAGTGTGGAGCTCCCAAACACCATTCTTTGATGCTTTCTACATGAGGGGAGAGCAATTTCTGAGGATCCGCACATCAGACTGTCTGGATCCAAAGCCTACCTGTCTCAGGTTTATAAAACAGTGGTTTCAGTACTGAGATGGCAGGAATGCATATTGGAACAGTTAATCACAGTGGAGGATGACTGTACAGCCGCACATGCCATTTGCTAAGGCAACTTTGCTTAAGCAATTCCAGGTCCCAGACTTAATGGCCTTCCAGTTCAGGGTGATGGTGGCTTTCGACAGTCATGTGCATGACTTCAGTTGTGAAGTGCACAGCGCACCTGTGGGAGGGGTGGCCCCTTGCTGCATGCTCCCCCCACCATTGCTTTACTATTTCTGCTGTCCTCCTGATTTACGGTGACCAGCACTGGCACTGGTGGGCCCGGGGACACAGGCGTGGCAGCTCACGTGCTGACATCAGGCTTTGTCGCCCCTGCCCCCTTCATCTACCACCCTCTGGACTTCCATTGGCTCCCCCTCGACAGGGGTCCAGCCACAATTGCCCCACGGCAAAGAGCACAAAAACAGGTCTGGGGGGACATGGTTTAAAGCCTTCTGCAGGAAACACTGACGATGACATGAGTTACTGTATACAAACAGCTCTAAATAGACCGGAATGACTCAATATTCTTCTAAATGTACAATTCCTGCATTTTTCTTTCATACATTTCTTCCTTCTCTTTTCAGTATGGCTCTCTGGTTTTACCAGAAAACACACCAGTAGGAACAGTAATTCTGGAAATTCAAGCCACAGATGCTGATGAGCCATCCACTGGAAGCTCTGAAATTGTGTACATAATCAAGAAGGGAGACCCAAGTAATTCTTTTACAATAGTGACAGATTCAAAAACAAACAAAGGATCGGTAACCATTAATAAGGTGAGTGAAGGCTCCTTTGCAGATAAATTATGTGCAAAAATGAACAAGTCAATCAAATAGCTAACTCCAGTGTCACATTAATTGGAAGCACCAGTGGTGGAGCACCTGCATTGCAATGCAGAAGGTCCTGAGTTCAATTCTCAGCATCTCAAGGTAAGACTGGAAAAGCTCCTGCCTGAGGACCGACCGCCTTTTACTGCTGACCATGCTGGCAACATGGACCAAGGTAGAAGGCAGTGCCGAGTTGTGTAAATCTGGCAGTCCAGCACTGAGATGACTGATTTTGCTGAACTGTTTTGCCCTGGCGTGCAGGGCAAAGAGCCGGAGATGCCACCAGGATACCGTGCGTAGGGGGGAAGCCTGTTTCCTCTGCTTCCCTCCCCTTCCCCAAAGCTCAAGTCCAAGGGGGTTCTTACATGTTCTTTCCATGCAGACTGTGAGGCTGAAGGGAGGTCCTCCGAGTTTGGACTTTCAAGAGCATTGCAAAAGTCCCCGAGTGTTTGGGAAGGCACCCTCAGTGAGGACCCTCTTCAGCAAGTCTAAATTTGCCAGTATTGCCACCATCTGTGACCACTCCTATCCTCTTCCTCATTCATGACCACATGGACAGCCAGCGAGCAAGCAGGCAGGGGCATCTCTTTCTCACCTGCACCCATTCTTGGTCCTGATCCAGAGGCTGTCAGGATCAGAGCCTGATTCACTGTGCAAACACCTGCAGAACCAGGAACAGATTGTAGCTGCTTGCAGGGAATCGCTGTGGGGCAATTGTGCAGTGCAGCAGGAAGCCCTGGAGAGTAGCATAAAAGGCTGTACAGCAGCATGAGCTGTCCTGCCAACTCCCCAGTGCTCTAGCCTCCTGCATCACCTCACCTGACTCCTGGCTCCTGCCCGGCTCCAGCCTGCTCCTGCTTCCATCCTTGTCTCCAGTCTGACCTGTCTCCCATGCATCTGCACCTCTCCTCCCTGACCATACCTTGGTCTAGAACACGATTGTCTTTCTGGAACTCAGCCTTCAAAGTGTGCTCTTGGAATGTGTGATCTTGGACTCTGCGTGCCTGAATCCATTGTCTCACCGGCTTTTGACTCTGGACCGCTAAACGAGTGTGCCTCTTGCCTCTGTCCCTCTGCAGAAGACCATGCTGCACCTGTCCCCTGGTCTCGGCGCCCTGACCAGAGCTGCCTTCTGCCCATGCTCCAGACCTTACAGGGACAGGGGAGTGGGCAGGTTGCACCATGAGAGGAGGAGCATTCCTCTCAGAGAGTGGGTCTCAGCAGGTGCCCAGCCACCCCACCCTTGATGCCAGACCTGCCCCCACAGGTGCTTGCTTTTGTTTTCTAAATGGTGCACTTCAGAGATTTAAGGATTTGGTTGTTTAATTTCTATACCACCCAATAGCTAAAGCTCTCTGGGCACAGCATGAACACACATGGATGCAGAGAGAGGAGATAGTACACTTTCCCAGCAGTCTGTCATCAGAGGTCTGTGTCAAGGAGAGAAGTTATTTGCCTGTGGGACTTAAAGGGGTCTGAGGCAGAGAACCACTCAAGCTTTCATTCCAGAGACAGCCATTTCCCCCTCCTGTTTTCTAGGCTCTTGATTTTGAAACAATGCCAGTGTTTGACCTAATGATCAACGCCACAAATCCCGAACCTCTTGTATCTGGAGTACAGTATAATTCAAGTTCTGTGGCCTACCTGAGAGTAAATGTAACAGATGTGGATGAACCTCCAGCTTTCATCAACAGTGTTGAGATAGTTGATAAGCATGAAAATGTTTCTGTAGGTAGCTTGGTGACAACAGTGACAGCATATGATCCTGAGGGAGCCCAGATAAGGTAAAGCCAACATTCATTCATTCATTTCTATACCGCTTCTCACTTTTTTAACCTTTATTCCATCTCAAAAATGTGGGAATGTCTTAGATCAGACAATATGTGACAACATAAAAGAAGAAGTCAGCAGGACCACTCATGTGTTAATTACAGTACAGAATGTGTGCCTGGGGTACTATGGTCATCCCACAATACAGAATGAGTATTTCATCAGCATTACACTAGACTTAGATCTTTTTGGATCCACATCTTTGGAGCTTTTTCTTGGGATTCTCTTGCTCTTTCTTGAAAACACCAGCCCAAGGTGTGGGGGACAAAAAGCCACTGCAGAATTTATTTAAAACCTTTACAGTTTTCCAGAACTTCTTGTGGTTGGAAATGGCTTGTCCCTGAAAATTGCCAATCTTGTATCAGGTCTGTAAAGCAACAAAAGATATTTGACTAATTTAAAACTCTCTCACTCTCTCTACCCTCTGACTCATGGATTCAGTTTGCAAATCATGGCAGCAAAACATGGAGAGCATGGGCTATTTCCAATTTCCATGAACAGCCAATAATTGTCCCATTTGTGGATTGTTAGACTGATATCTAAACCCAGATACTCTGAGTTGTTTATAGGTTAAACAATCCAGAATTAATCCGTGGTTTGTTGTTGGGTTAACTCTAGGTTGTTTAACTTCTACTCAGAGTGTGCCAGTTTGGCAATCATGCTAACAACCTCTGAATGGAAAATTGGTAGGTTATTTAGACCAGAAATTTCTTGATCCTGTGCTCCAAGAATCCCTGCATCCTGGGTAAATTTACCCATGATTTGCCACTGTGATGTGTAAAGTTCCTCATTCTTCCCAAATTTAAATTGCAGAATGCTTCAAAGCCTTGCTTTGTCCCTTCCCCATAGGTGAACACTGCCATTGCCAAAAATGATGGGAAACATATGCCCAGCTACCAGCAATATTCCTTTCATTAGTTCCCACTGATGAATCATCAACCAAGCTTCCTGGACTATTAACAATCTATCACCCTGGCAATGGATAATCTCCCAGAATCTGTAAAACCAGAGAAGGGGCATGTTTTCTTTCCCTCTCCTTCCAGTGGCTGTTAGCCCTATTTTACATCCAATTCCTATGGGATTTCTACAACATAGTTTAAGTGCTGCCTTTTAACTTTCCTAATCTAGCTGCTTGGAAGGGCTAGGAAGCACAGCAGCTGCCATGTGGATTGAAATGGGATCAGGAATGCTTTTGGGAGGGTCATTATGTAATAATGTACAGTACTTTGTAGGGTCATTCAACAGGAAGCTGTCTCTCTTTACTAACAGGGTGGGCTGCCATTCCCTCTGCCCCATACAGTGTCCCTAGGAAGGATATTATGGTATCACGTACTGTCTCTCCCAGGAGCAAATCTGGCTCCATTTCAGTCAGTGGGGCAGCTGCGGCACTTTTGACCAACTGCAAGCAACTAGATCCTATGTGGGGGTGGGGTGGTAAGGTTTTCTTAAATTTGCAAAGAATTGTGGGCAGATTTTTAATTAACATGTACACACACGAACAAGGTGGATTGGACTATGCATTGATCACGTCTGAAATGGACACATTCGCCCCAGACCAGCCCCAGTGCTGATGGGGTTGAGTGAATGGGACTGTGGTGCCCAAACAGTGGCTTTGTGGCAGCATACCAGTCCAGGGACATATTATCAATGAAAACGCACCTGACTTTCTCAAAATACTGGTTACTTGTGACTTGGTCTTTTTTGTACAAAGATACTCGCTGAAGGGGGACAACAGAAACTGGCTGCGGATTGACCCATTGAATGGCACAATATATACCGCTGCCCCCTTGGATCGGGAAACCGAACGTGCCTACATCGTGTACATTGTGGCGACTGAGCAAAGTAAGCAAAGAAAGCTACATCCAGGGCCAGTTTGAGGTTTGAGGAGGACCAAGGCAACATGGCCTTTGGTAGATCCCTGGTAAACTGGTTCCCCGTCCACCAACCAGGCTTGGTGGCTATGGCAGGCTGCCCTGATCTGCCTTTTTAATTTGTTCATGGTGCTTCAGACTGATGCTACGCTGCATCCTTTAAAACTGCACTTTGTGGCTGCCTAGGTAAGGGGCCCAGGACAGGCACCATTGCTGGAGAGCTCTACTGGGGTTTGGAGGGCCACCTTGCTGGCACCGAGCCTGGCTTTTACCTGTGTAGAGTATTTTGAATTCTCAAAATGGAAGACCCTCACACCTTGCACAGATGGGAAAAATATAAATCTAAGAAAAAGAAGTCATTAGATATGTTTCATATAATGGCAACAAAAGGTAGGTCCAGCTTCCTGTGGTTTTCTTTTTCTCTCAGTAGCAACTAGCAGTTTGGTAGCCATTACTTTCAGTACAGAGTAGCCATCCCAAACTGCAGTCTTAGTGTATACTGAACATAAAGAAGTGCTGCTCCCACCTTGGGCATGCTGAATAACTCCCTAGTTGTGTAGCCTGCCCTTAGCTTCATTCTCCTCCTCTGTTGTGTCAGCTACCTAGAACACTCACCTATCACTGGAAAGGAACAAGAGGCAACTAGTCTTGGAATATCATTGCATGCTCTGTTCTAATCAACAGCCAAAGCAGCTCAGAGCTCCACAGCAAAGTTGATACTGAACCTGAAAGATGTGAATGACAACCATCCCATGCTATCAAAGGAATTTGCCTACTTCTGCCACCCTCTCCAAGGCAATGAGAAAGCCCTCATAGAAGTATATGATCCAGATCAATACTCATTTCTCTCAAGATTCACTTATTCCCTTGTGGGTGGAGACACAATACAGAACAACTGGAATGTTTCTAAACTCAATGGTAAGTTTTTGGTAAGTCTAGTTCCGAAAGCAAATTCCATACAGAGCCACCACTTTTAGACTGCAAGGCAACAGCTTCCTTGCATTGGGGAATTTTTGATTTAATTATTTAGATTTCCTTTACAGAAAAGGTGCAGAACTTCAGGATCCAGGTCATTTCTGGCCTACCAAGAATCCTAGTCTAGCCTTTTTTCTCCTTGTTCTTGCTACGGTGATTCCATCAAGCACAAACATCTTAAACAGAAGCATACATTTCTCCCATTCAAAGGAATGGAATTTTGGAATTTATGCACCCCTTTTCAAAACAAAGCATTCCCCAGGTGGCTTACAAGTAATACAATAACACCTTTCAAATAAAAATCAGGCCCAAGACATTTTGTTGCCCGAGACGAAGAAGCCCTCCACTCCCAGCCTCAGTTGCAAGCACAGATGTGGACTAGACTGGTGCTTGAAAGTTTGACTTGGCAACAGGATCGTGTCCTCAGTGTCCTCAGTCAACATCTCATTTGCTTAGATGGTGCCTGATGTGTGCAGAGCTGGTATCTTTTCCATTATCTCTTCCCGATTATTATCATCAGCATCATTGTAATCATTAGCACTGTCTGTTATTTTATGTTTCTGTTAAAAATACACACTTTTTCCATTCACTGTTTTTACCAACAGAAAGACATGCTTATATTTTCCCAAAGAACAAGTCTCTTGAAGCAAAAAGGTATGTGATACCAATAAAAATTAATGACAACGCACAGCCACCTATGGAAGGAATTGTATATCTGACAGGTACAGTGAAATTTGCATTCATTTTTAAATCATGTTACGTGGCCAGTTGCATTTTCTCTAATTTATCAGAATGTGCCTTTTGTCCGCAGTGAATATATGCAGGTGTGTCGAGGAAAGATGCTTCATAGAAGTAGAAAAGGTCAATAATTTTCCAACTGTGGGGATGGCAGTCGGTATTCTGATTGCTGTATTTGCAGTGATTGGTGAGTAAATTTCATCATCATCTACAAAGCAATCTGATGAGGATGTCCATAACCTTCAACACTCAGAGGACTGTGGGCATCCTCTATTTGTTTATTTATTTTTTGGGATATTTCTAGGCTATCCAATCACTCTGAGTCTCTGGACGGCTCACAACAAAATCAATAAATACAACAGTAAAAATATAAACATCATCATCATAAATAACCCAACAATAATAAAACCAAATAATCCATGACTGAAATAAAAATAATTAAAATCTATTAAACATTAAAATATTGGGTAAATAAAAAAGTCTTGACCTGGTGCTGAAAAGCATATTAAGATGGTGCCAGGTGGACCTATCTGGGGAGTGCATTCCATAGCCAGGGTGTCACCTCAGAGAAAGCCCTCCTCTGGGTATTCTGTTTCCTGATCTCCTTCAAGGAGGGTTCCTGGAGCAGGACCTCTGCTGCAAATCTTAAGGGGCGGGAGGACATGTAGGGAAAAAGACTAATGGGAGAAGCCTGGGCCTCTTGTGCTCCCACCATGCAAAGTGCTGAGATGGCTGATTTTTGGCCATCTTCTAAGTGTTCTGCCCCACAGTGTGAGTTGAGGGGTTGAGGTGCTATCAGGATACTGAATATGCAGGGGGAGCTTGTCTTCTCCCAACTCAGCATCCCCTACATCTCAGCATCTCAGAGCTGCAGCCAGTGTGGCTTTTTCTACACCAGATGCAAGGACGGAAGGAAGGAGCTTCAAGGTTGCAGCTGGAACTCCAAATTGTCCCACAGCTGTTTAGGATCTGTTTAACAACAGTACGACTGTGTTCTTAAATGCCTTTCTAAATAAACTAATACACACACACAAAGACTGAAAATAACTTCCTATAAAGTACACTTTTACAAATACTTTTTAATGAAGCAATTTAAAATAGCAAAAAAAAAAATCAATAAAATACAAAAATCCTAAAACAATTAAATTATTTGTAACAACTCCAACCCTGGCCCAGTCTTCCCCAAACTGGTGCCTTCCAGATGTGCGTAGCTATAGCTCTCAAACAAGCTGATTGGGGGATGCTGGGAATCACATGCCAACACATCTGGAGCATGCCACATTGAAGATTTATCCGAATAATTTCCTCTAGATTTTATCTAATTCACTCTCCCAGTGAGTTCCAACTTTTTATAGTTCCACAGTATTTATTGTGTTTACCCTGAATAAAGCAGAATTATGATGTTAGACTTCATTGTGCAGCAAATGACAGGCAAAAGCTGATAAACTTAAACAAATCCAACTGGCTTTTTTCTCCCAAAACAGGGCAGAATCCTTGGGGAAATTTTGAAAATAAATTAAATGCTTAAGGATCCAGGATGACTGACTGAGGAATTTGGCCCTCAGACATGTAAATAAATAATAATAATCATAGCACAGTTTTAGATTTAGAAACATAGAAAATGCTGGAAGCAGGCTGAGTTAATCGTTATTGGGATTTAAAGAGGAAAAACAATAGGAGCACATGAATTAAATAAAGCAGACTTAATTTATACAGGGAACAAACAAACTTTGGGAGATTACATGACCAAAAAAAGAAAAGGAGAACTTATGTCACATTTCCGCCATTTTTAGTTGTGGCAGTGAACAGCCCAGTCCACAATTGAGTACCAGGATGTACTAGCTGTGACACAGACTCAAGCAAGGGGCCAGGTTCTCATATCTTGGCTATCCAGAGCACCCACTTCCTCCTACTGAGCTAAACAACCTAGTGATGTACTACTCCTGGGTTGTCATCTTTGACATCTGAACCTGGATGGTGGGTTCTTGTAGGAGGAACAATCCAGAATTGTACTTCATTGTATGTGCTTTAGTTACAAGTCTGGGTTATTTCTCTTCTATAACTCCAAATTGTTTAACTATTCAAGAGGTGCCATGTGGCTGAGGGCCGTCCCACTTACTTTACTCTCACTTCATTCTCAAAAATCCAGTTTTACATACTATGGATTGTTGCAACATGCAAACCGGGTATCCTTGAACAGGAGTAAGCAATGTGGTACCTGTGAGTACCAGTGTCCCTTGGATACCTTTCTTGGTACCTGTCAAGGTCCCTAGCCCACTTAAAGGATTTTTTTACCATAAAATAGTTTCTGTTGGTAGTAAAAAATTGATGGGTCAAAGTGTGTAGATGCTCAGACACCACCTCTGCTCTTTACTCAGTCTTTTGGACAGATAACTTGGCCCTTTTCACATAATCTGTCCATGGCAGCCATTTTATGGTGGTACCTGTTATAATTTCTCAGGTTGCCAAATGGTGCCAGTAAACAAATTCCTTGGTCGGCATCTTTGAAGAGGGACTTTGGGTGGTCTTTGATTTAATGAGATAAACTTATGCCTTCGGGAAGAACTGTAACACATGGGGAGTGCACATGCTTTACATGCAGAAGTCCCAGGTCTAATCTTTTTTGTTGCTAGGAAAAAGTGTTAGGTAACCAGTGATGGGCAGGACCTCTGCTTGGAACCCTGGAGAGTCACTGCTGGTCAAAGTTAAAAGACTGCTGGGTGGGCAAAATTTTCTCAGCTGATTTAAGGCAGTTCTCCATATAATAACCAATCTCAAAATGGTTTAAATCATACTCCTCCTGCTGCTTTCAGTCTTGTCCCCATAAAAACAACCTGTGAGGTAGGCTGTGCTGAGAGTCTGTGACCAGTCCAAAGTCACCCAGTTGGCTCCATGGCCAAGCAAGGATGAGAATGCAGGTTGCCTGAGTCCCAGTCCCATGTTCTTAACCGCTTCACCATACTGGCTCTCTAGCATTGATTGCAAGGAGCTCTAAAAAGATCTCTCCAAGCTGGGAGAATGGAGATCAAAAGGCAAATGCAGTTCAGCATAAGCAAGTGTAAAGTAATGCATACTGAAGTTTTAAAAAATCTCAACTTCAGGCTGATGGGAGCTGAGCTAGCAGTGACTGAGCAAGAAAGGGATCTTGGGGTGGTGATGGACAGTGGGATGAAAATGTCAATCCAGTCTGCAGCCACTGTAAAAATGGACAACTTCGTGTTCACCATACTTAGGAATTAGGAAAATAGAACTGCCAAGATTGTACTTCTCTTACACAAATATTTGGTGCAATCAAACTTATAATATTGTGTATATATCTGTTCATCTTACCTGAAAAGGAACATTATTGAGCTGGGAAAAGTACAGAGAAGGGCAACTAAAATGATCAAGGGCTGGAGCAAATCACCTATGAGCTTACAGCAACTGGGACTCTTTACCTGAGAAAAAGGGAGATTAAGGGGAGACATGATAGAAGTGTTCCAACTTTATTTATTTGATTCATTTATTTGGGTATTTTTACCCCATCCAATATGTTGCGGGTCTCTGGATGGCTTCTTCTTGAGTTGTGGCTTGGTTTAAGCCCTGAATGTAGCGCAACAAACCCATTAAAGAGACAGACAGCACAACTGGCCACAAGTCCCAAAGAGTTCGATGAAGCTTAATTCCAAGGGCATACGATTGTATTGCAACAGTTGCAGTCCCAAGCCTGTTTAATGGGGAGTATATCCCACTGAACATAGAAGTACTTACTTCAGAATAAATATACATAAGATTGTACTGCAAAAAGGCTGGATTCTTTGGAGTCTGAAGCATTTGCAAAAATGTGTTCGCATAATGTTTGATTGAAACATTCTTTTCTGTTGTGTTCCTTCAGGTATCATTTTGGGGATTGTGTTTTACCGCATGAAATACAAAAAGCAGGATGACCAGAAGGCACCCAGAGCAAGTGCTGCTAACCCAACGGAACTGCAAAACCTGACGTAACAGCTCAGCCAAAACAAATAATGCACTTGTTTGTTTACTTTTTCTATTTGTTTGTTTCTCCTGCCTCCCACTGAGGAATTTCAGAAGTGTTTGTCACTAATGTACAAATGCCTTTGTTGCCTTGATTTCCCCACTCATGCTAGCAAAGAAAAAGACCCTTCCAGAGGGCACTGGAACCCCCAAGTCCTTGCCAGAAGGGGGAGTAACGTGTTGTTCACGATCAAGGGTGTGTTTTAATTATTTAAATATCAGCCCTGTGATATGCCAATGATCAAGACTGCCAATAGAAAATTATCTCCTGGGCTAATATCAGCTTCAAAAAGGTTTTTTTTTTTTAAATTGCCATAGCACTGACATATGGTGTATATGGTGTATAGGAAGGAAATGATGTCCCTTCTCATCCACCCCAGTATTAATCTGGTTTTCCTCCCCCCCCCCCCAGGCTATTATTTCATGTTTAAAATGTAAGCCAAGAGCTTACATGGGTAATTTGGGTCTCTGGCAGAAATGATGCTTCTTATGGTGGTGGTGGTGGTCGGAATAATAACCAGCTGGATCCAGAACCTTCCTTATGCAAGAGAAATTCATCTCCCCTGGAATAAGTGTTGTACTCATGAAAGAGCCCTGTACCCAATTTTTGTGGATCTCTCTGCCCTAAACATCACAACTTACCCCTTTCTGTAGGGTCTCCTGGCTCTGTGATTTTTACCAGGTGTTTGGAGAGGCTGCCCTGGGAAGGATGGGCACAGTTGATCTAATGGGGATCTGGATCCAGCCCAATACGGATACTAATGCTGCTGTTACTGCTACTAATAAGCATGCAACCCAATCTTAAATAGGTTTTCTTAGAAGTAAATTCTACTTAATTTAACAACTTAGCTAGCATTCTTGTAATAATGTTTAGGATTGCAGCCTAAGGCTGCATCATAGGCATAAGGCTCACTGACCACTGTGAGATTTACTTCTGAAAAAACATGCATAGGATTGTGCTGTAAACTACTGCTGATTTGCTGCATTTTAAGGGTATGCTGAGATTCTCTGTCTCACTCTGCCCAGTGGCAAGACCAACCTTGGTACAAAAGTTACAAATGAAAAGAAGCACAAACCCAAGAGTTAAATGGGAGGGTTTAACTTGCAAAGACCTGCCTAGGAGATTCGTAACTTTTCCCTAGTAAATATTGACTCTTAAAGGACAAACTTCGCTTTTCAATGGCTCTGCTTGCTGTAAAGATGACTGTATCAGTTTGACAGAAACTAAACTATGAAAATGAATTATGTTGTTTCCCTGAAACTTCCATAACATCCCACTTGTTCTCTGAGACTAGTAATGGAAAAAGGGGATGATTTGTTGGTTCTCCATCTTCTCCTGGTTCACCATATCCAATCTATGGCTCCCAACTTTTGTCTTAGTACATCTGAACAATATTGTCAACAGTGGAAAAGTGGAGGTGCTTTTCCAGATTCTGAGAGGGAGAAATTTAAAAGAATGTTTTTCTTGCTAAAAGGTTTTACTTGTCTATGAGTTTAAAAGGGAGAAAGGGGGGATGGGAGGCAGGCAGGGTATGCATCAGGCAGCCTCAAATAGTCAGACTACATAACTCCAGTAAAGGTTCAGGAGAAATCATTCAGCACTGGAGAAAATACTGATTCCTTTTTGTCAAAGTATTTCTTGCATCCACTAAAATTTTAATGAATATAAGCAGAATAGAATTTACAATTGGAAACTGCAACAAAATGATGCAGCGCATCATAGTTGGTTAACAGGCGTGCTTCTGTGAGTTCTGCTGATGGCACCACAATGGAGCTACTCCATTAGACAGAAGCCTGTGTTGAAAGCGAGTTTGCCGCTGCTCAGTCAATGATCCTCCTAAAGTGGAGGAGCCAGCAAGACACCTGATTCAGCAGCCCTGCTGTGAATCAGCCCTGGGAATCTTGTGCATGCCCCCTTGAGTTTTTCCAGAGGATAAATATAATGACATAACATAAAATAGAAGAGCAGGAACATCCGCCACTCAGATAATGTGATATATGACTGACATGCAGACCTTGGTACACAGAAATCTGATTCACAACTATTTTCAGTGGGACTGAATCTCTGCACATACAGTCACACACTTCTGTATAGTTGGGGTGAGCAACCTGCAAGCTTGGGGGATCTGCTTTGTTTTGTTTTGCTTTGTTTGTCACAGAACCACGAGATCCTCCAACTGGAGCCAGGTGCAAAAGACTTGCAGTTAGCACTGAAGAGTACTGAACTCATGAATTAGTTGTGAGCACCAAAGTTGAGCTGATGGCTCATGGTGCTACAACATAAAACTCCACTTCTGCTTTCTTCCCTCTCACAAGCTTTCTTCATTCCAGTAATATAATATATGCAAAGGGGGAGTCATTTTGTTATTGCCCTTAATAAATATTTGGGAGTTGGAGATCCTCACCAATCTTGTGTTCATCACTCAACTCTATCAGTGAATCTTGAACTACTTTCTGCCCCCCCCCCCCCCCGTGCACAATGATGGGGAAGTATGCACCTCTCTGCCACCATGGGATGCCATGAGGCTCATTGGCTGGGTTAATATATGCGCCTGACTTGAGATAATCGACTACATTGGAACAGCTTCCTAATACAAGGGTGCTTAGGTTTTACCAGAGGGGATAAAAAAATCTGCAGTTTGCCCATTTTATAAAATTAGCATGAATAATGCCTAAAAGAAAGGCCAAGTGTAAAATAATCCTACCTCTACAATGCTGGAGCTCTACAATGCTGGAGTAAGTGTTCCATGGACTTTTATGCCCACGTTTGTTTTCTTTTCAACTTGAGCTATTTTCCAACTTTAGACTCACTGTAGATTTTCTGCCAAGCACAATATTCTAACATAACTGACCCACTGATGAATTCCTCTGAGAATGTGTCCCATGACTCTGTGCCTAATAAAAGAAACTTGAAGGCAAAGCCATCTAAGAAACAAAGTCAGCAGAGACTCTTTGCACCAGTTCTGCCACAATTCATGCAATTCCTCTTTAAGGTTTAAGTATGAGCTAGAGAATGCATTGTACATGCACGCATCAAGCTGCTGCTTTGTCTTTGTAAATCTTTGCTAAAGATATACAAGCAATTTTGTATCTGACTTTGTTGAATATAAACTGTGTGGCTGTAGCTAAAAGTGGGAGGGTGGAAGTGTGTGTTTGCTTTAGGAAAGTGCAGTGCATCTCTGCTATTCATAGATTCTTGAGCATAAAAATGACTTGTTAATACATGTGGCACCTTTAAGCAGAAGGGACAGGCTGGGCAGAACTGTAGTCACTCTGGCCTGGAAAAAAAGAAAGTCACCCAAACTCTGCAGCAAGAAAAGCTGAATTCTGTGACCTACATAAAAGATACATAAATATTTTTACATATATTTTGGTAATGTATATTCTTATTATTATTATTACTCTGTTAATAGTTCATTTCTATACCACCCAATAGCTGAAGTTCCATGGGCAGTTCACAGAAGGACAAGATAATGCAAACATAGACAACCAATAACAATGGTAAAGTTGGCACCAGGCAGAATGCAGTGGGAGGACCCTTCCACATTGGGGGGGGGGGGCTACTGACCAGGTCCTCTTTCTTGTTGCCACCTTGTCTTGAAAGAGACAGTCAGAGGAATGTTAATCTTAGTGCCCACTGATGTTTATGTCAGTTGAGGTTCCTCACCAAGATCCTGAGCCATGTAGGTGAATGGACCCCATTTGATTCAATTTGTTTTACCGCCCTCTGAGGCTTACTACTCCATTTCTACAGGTGTGCCAATTTCCCCTCCATGTACTTCCCTGCCATTAACTTTGCATACATTTTCCTTCCATTTACTCACACAAATACTTGAGAGCTTTTTAAATCAACCTTACAGGCAGAACAAGATGGGGCAAATGGGCACACATACGCTCTGCTCCCTGCAGCCACATTTTCCCTTTTTCCAACTGTAAGGGAACCATAGTAACTGCTCCAAAAGGAGCAACCAAAAGGGAAGAGTAGCTGAAGATTCTGGGAAATGTTGACAAGATGGAGGACACTTAGAACTGTTGCTCCAACACTTAGAAGCAGAGAATCCCATTGCCAAAGGGAAGATACTATCCCTCACCTTTGGGTCTCCTCACCCCACTCCATTTTTTGGTGCCTTTGTCTTGCACTACTGGTTCCTCCTTTCACTTATTGATGTTTCTCTCCTGGTTCTTTGTGACCATTCACAAAGTAACTTATATGCCAACTCACCTTGTTGATTTCCTTGCATGTCACCTACTGCACTTTACCCTGCCTTTGACATAAAATGTTTTGGAACTCTAGCGCCGAAGTCCTGCAGCCTTGGAGTCGAAACGCTGAAGGCTGAGCCCCCATCCTGCCGCCTCTCTAGCTGGCAAAGGCAGAACTGTGCCGGCTGCCTCTCTGAGGGTGTAACAGGGCCTAGCAGAAGAAGAGGGTTGTGCCAGAGCAGGGAGGGGCGGAGGCTGGGACTGCTGCTCTACCTTGATTTCTGCTGGATCCTCAGCTCCTTCCCTGCCTCTCCTCAGTGCTAAATATATATGGGTGAAAATGGCCATCCAGGATAAGTGCACGGGGTGGGCTGTGGCAGCACTGCGGATCATTGCCGCTTCTCACTCCATGCATCGGCTCTGTGGAAGTCTCTGAGTTCCAGGGCTTTGTGCATCTGCCTCCAAGCACATGGGATTGGAGCTTCCTTGTCTTCCTTGTCTTGAAAAGGACTCAGAGTGGAAGGCAACCAATTAAAGCATATTATAACCACTGTAGTGGAAGTTAGTTTAAAATTTAAATCACACATAATTAAGAAAAGGCCAGCATAAAACAGAAAAACAATAATTCATTAAAAATAAAGTAATCATGGATCCAAAGATGGGGACTGTGGGGGAAACAACCCCGCACAAAAAGCAAAAGGGAACATTTAAAACTGTACTTGAAAGCAGCTCAATAACAGCCTCCCTGAAAAGCCAAGTTTTTTTCCTAC